CTAATTCCGGCTTCAACGTCTGCTACTGTTTCTTGAAAGATTTCTTTAGAGTATATGTAAAACAGCAAGGGTGATAGTATACATTCCTTTCGGACACCGCGTTTGGGCCACAGATGTTTATTCCAATATTTGTTAATATCTCTATCAGTTTGTCGTGTTTTACTGTATCAGATGCTTTATGGCAATGAATGAAGCATGCATAAATATCACAATTCATATCTCTACATCGTTGAAATAGCACTTGCATGCTAAAGAGAGCCTCTTTTGGACCCACTGCATTCCGAAAACCAAACTGTACGGCTGATTTTTTCTTAGCATAGTCTATGATGTATGATTTTTAGAAATAACTTTAAAATGTGGCTCATTGAGCTGATGTTCCGGAAATCCTTGCAGAAACGGAATTTGTTTTCTTTGATAGAGCAATAAACGTTGACTTCAGCTATGATCTTGGTATTACTCCGTTTAAATATATGTCATTGAATAATTTTGTTAGTCGTTGAGTGCTGTGGGTATTAAATAGCTTTATAAGTTCAGCATATGTATTGTCAGGTCCAGGAGCTTTGTCATCTTTTAGTTGTTATATTGCCTTTTCCGCTACATCTGATGTAATTGGTAAGTTGTCATTGCATATGTAGGACGAAGGTTGTTTGGACCTATGATCATTAAAGAGTTCTTGTATGTATTTGGCCCATATGCATATTTCTTAATTTTTATCTGTGATGATGTTCTTCTGTTGATCTTGCAGTTTGTTAGCTGTGTTGGATTTTTGAAGATCAGCTTCTTGTTTTACCTTTTTATTCATATTAAACGCTGAATTGAATTTGGCTGGAAAAGTATTCAGTTAGATTATTATTAATCTTTCAGAAACAGGTATAATATTTGTAACATATTGACGTAATTGAAGAGATACGATTACTCCAACCCCATACATATGTTGACCATCATTTCCAGAATAATATACCACATGGTTGTCAACAATACAAGCACTACTATTTGACCAGCGCTCATTTCGCTTATGCCCATTAAACCTACTCCAAGTCTGGTCATTTCTTGATTGGTATGGTGAAGTTTTCTGGATTAATACATTGTTTTCACATTCCAAGTACATATTTTGATAATCAACTCTGAAGTTTTCATAGAGACTTTTCCAGTTCAGTCACAGGGGTTTCTCTGGGTTACGACCTGGAAGGCCCTGTGGTTTAGATGTGGATCACCTCCGCTGCCGAATCTTGGCTTCCGTATTCCATGATTAGTAGCTGTTTTCACTTTAGTTGTGTTTGCCATGATAGCTGTACTAGAGATGTCATAAGGGACCTTTAATGCCTTCTCTCGTTGCCTTCTGCATTCTTGGTTCTTCCGCCTTCGAGAGCAATTTCATTGTCTCAGGACAACAGAGTTCCCTTCCACTTACAAGCTCATCCGACCGCAGCCGTTGCCAGTATATGGTGGATTGCTTATCTTGGCAAACACTCGGACGTTAGTGCTTTGTTGGTTATCTTTGGATAGGAGAGGCTATACGTTGTGCATCACTATCCCATTACACTCCTACATCCCATACTTAACATAAATGTAGTAAATTATTAAGTATAAATGTCTAGTTAATATTGTAAATGTCGTAATTAATTATCAACTTTATAGTTAAATAACCTCACATCGAACAATATTTTTTTATAATATACTAGTATTGTATTTATAGATATACTTATTTTTTATAATATAATGGCACTAAACTGTTATCATTAGCAAGAATAAATTTTTGAAATTTGAGATTCTAACAAACTAATACTATACTTTAATTCAGTCGATTAAAATGAAATAAGGGCTCAAAACGCTCTGACACTAAAACAGTTGTTGGCATGTGTAATAAAACGCTCCCGGCATAGATGCAATTCGCAATACATAAAACCTCGTTATGTTTATTCAATCACTAAAGCATGAATCACTTCGTTTGCGATCGATTTTTCACAAACACGTGTATAAAAATAGCTACTTAGTTGCTGTTTGTAGATTTATTACAAACTAAAACATTGGTGGAGATATTTTCTAATTTGACGAAGTAGCTTAAGCAACTCCAAAAGTTGATTATTTTGTACTTTACCGTTACGCAGAAACAACAGTTACAGACAGTTTTCTTAAATAATAATTATCTATTATTTAATTACTTAGTTATGTGTTGTTAGTCATAATTTCAGCCACTTGCTGCTCCCATAAATGGATTCCATACCTTTATATGGGTTTTAATATTAGGTACTTTGCAAATTAACAGTTTGTTTTTCAGGTTCAATTTAGCGTTGCGTTCTTGAAACATTTGTGTTGGTTCCATTCCTATCTTCTGTGTCTTCCTCATCGTACAATACTGTATTTTACAAAGATCAGTAAGAAATTATTTGACGAATAATTATCTTTGGTACTTGCCTTTCTTAGAATAGTTAATGGTATAGCGTCGTAAAACTTGTGGATATTGAAATAATTATTGATAAACCTAATACATACTGACCATAAATTACCTAAAAATTACTATCCGGTCACTCTTCTCCAGGCGATAGGAAAAATTTTTCAGAAAATTATTTAAGGAAGATTAAAAAAAGAAATAAACCAGTATATAACACACCAGTTTGGATTTAAAGAAAATTTATCAACAATCCATCCTCTTCTAATAGTAACATCCAATGTACAGGCAGCAACATTACAAGGACTCAAGACTATAGGAGTTTTCTTGGACATCAAGAAGTCGTTCGACTCCGTTTGGCATAAAGGATTATTATACAAAATTCACAAGATGCTCCCCTTTGCTAATATTGATTGTTGGTGATTTTCTTAAAAGGCGCAGGTGTTTAGTCAAAATGAACGGAACATAATATTCCCAATCAATTGCAACAACGATTTCACAGGGTTCATCGCTGTGTCATCTATTGTATAACTTCTACTGTAGACGACAGATATGTGAAAATAAACTAACCAATAGATAGTGATTTGTGACAATTTGCGGATGAAACGACGGTGATATATTTTAGTAAACATTCAATAAGTATAATAATTTACTTATTAAAAGGTAGATGGATGACACAATATCTTGGGCCAATAAATAAAGATTAATAATAAATTCCTCTAAAACACAATTAATTATATTTAATCATAGAATTCTAGTCTAGAAGATCACTTCCCGACTATAAACATAATATGTAACAATATTATTAAAACCTCCCAATATGTCAAGTATTTGGGAATTGAAATAGACAACAAATTAAATTTCAACTAGGGGAGACCGGTGTTTTAGTTCTTACACGGGGCAGGTTGTTACATTTAATTTTAATCAACTAAACGAGTTAATGTCACGTCTCGTCACAGTCCCGGCGCCGAACGGAACAATCCGTCATACGAAATATTCTAGAAATATGCCGCCGGCATTCACATTCATAAGAGACTACGGAAGCATAGAGAACTATCACTAATATAAAGAAAAACACCCATAACTCCATAAGCAACTTAATTCCTATAGCACAGTGGGAAAATCACTATAAAAATTTACTCCAGGAGTCCAGATTGGAATATATGGGAGAGGAATACAGTATGGAAGGACAAAAAAATAGTAACATTAATACTACTAACAACGTGGTCCGTACTGCGTTAATTAAAATGAAAAACGGGCGATCTCCAAGACCTGGCAATATAGCTGTAGAGTTACTTAAAGCAGGAGGTCCACTTCCAATAGATCGAATAACTTTTCCAATTAATCAATGCTGCCAACAGATTAAAGTACCATCTAAATGAAAAACCGCTCACCAAGTGTACATCTTTAAAAAGTGTAGTCGAAAAGATCCTAACTGCTGCAGAGGATTAAAGTTTCCTACCTACTTTTGGGAGATTGTTTGGAAAGATAATAAATGAAAAAATACAAGATGATGTAGGTCATCTAATTAGCGAAGACCAAAGTAAATTTACGCCTGGTAGATCTTGTTAACTGATAACTTGTTTATACTCCAACAATGATTAGAAAAAAGAATAGCGGTTGGTACCGAAGTACATCTAGCCTTCATCGACCTAGAAAAGGCGTATGATACAGTTCCAAGACTGAAATTGTGGCAAGCTTTACAACAACTCGGCATTAGTCAATACCTTTAAAGAATAATCACAGAAGCATACAGGAATAACACTACTTACCTAAAAATCGGAAATAGACTATCAGAGAAAATAAAAATAACTAAAGGACTAAGACAAGGATGAAGTAGGTCACCTTTACTGTTAAATTTATATATTGAGGCAGCCTTCCAAAATTGGAAAAACCACTGCCAGGGAATGGGAATCCCCATGGGAAATGACATACTGTTCTCCCTGAACTTTGCAGATGACCAAGTCGTCCTAGCTCAAGAAGTGCTAAAACATCAAGGCTGGAACGGAAGACCAACGAATCTATAAAGAATAACATGAATGCTACAGAAACGGTCATTGATAGAATAAAAAGAAGTTCAAAATGGTCACCTATGGAGAATGTCTGACAAACATTGGCCCCAAAAACTTCACAGATGGAAGCCCCCTAGAAGAAGAAAAAGAGGTAGACCTTGACTCTCATGGAATGAAGGAATTAGAAGAGTGATGGAATCGAGAGGTTTTAAGGAGGAGCCTGCCTTCAACCGGGAGGATTGAGTTGGATATTGTCTTACACAAATAATTTAATGTATCCATACATTGAAGTTGGATATTGTCTTACAAAAATAATTGAATGTATCCATACTAATTCTGTAAAATGGCTGAAAGACATTGATTGATGGCCTTTTGGAACTTAGCATCAATAAAGTGTATTTCACTATTCGAGATGCTTGACAAAATAAAGTTTATCAGTCTTTTTTTCCTCGAGCTAATTCATTCTAAGAATCCGTGAACTAGATCTTCATTAAACTTAAGAACAATTTTTTATGTTCTTACCAAGAAGTTCAACAACATCCGACAGTAATTTCTAAAGTTTTAAAATATTTGATGGGAAAACTAAATAAAGTAAACCATTTAGCTAGGTAAAAATAATTTTATTTACAATACAACTTTTAATAATATTTAATAATGGAATTAATTTTATATTAAAAAGATATCTTAATGTTTTAAAACAACTTTAAAGTTAAACTATATGAATAAAGTATGTTTATTAGTAATTTCTATGTAGTAGCAAAAAGATACAATAATGCTCTAACAAACTGGACAATTTCTGACCCTCCCAACTTTGATTCCCCATAGACTCTATCAACGAAGGTAATTGGCACTTCACCCACACTGTAGTTCAACTCCCTGGCTCTAATTATCATTTCCATCTGAAAAACATAGCCCTTAGACACACAGCTCTTGATAAGTTTTTCAAGAACATCTTTTTTGTAGAGACGGAATGATCCTGTCAGATCAGATGCGCCAGGTCTTAATAAAAGTTGGGTGAGGAAGTTTGCTCCTCGAGACACGAGTTTTCTTTTGAAGTCCCAACCAGATACTCCTCCATCTCCTAGGTAGCGAGTACCAGAAATTACATCATAATCTTGGGATTGTTGTTTTTCGATAAATTGGGATATAAATTTAGGCTGAAATTAAAAAAATATATATTATTATTACTTAATTGCAAATTATATCTAAAGGGAAAAAATGTAATTTTTACTTAAACGATAATTTTAAGATTAGATGGTTAAGTAGACTTATAAGTTAAGACAAAACCATAATCAAACTAAGGTTGTGGTTCATTTATTACAAAAGTTTAAAGGAATTTTGAATTATTAAGTCAACCTAACCTATAGAAGATAATCCTGATGAGTATTAGTTACCATTGTCACAATTATTAATATCTTCCAACATTACTACTTTGCATTTTAGTTTTGTTGACCCAGTAATATCGATACATTTTTGGCAAAGTAATGTAAGTCACCAAACATGATTTTTAGAAAAAACAATTTTTTAATTCAACCTGGTTAAACTTATTTAAATTATGACTGAAAAAACTTGTCCTACTTGTCCTAAAAAAGGTTTAAATTAATTCTAGGCTTACTACACTTTGGCAGTACCTTTTTAACAATAATAGTGTTAGTTTAATTGAAAAACATGATTTTCGCCAAAAATGTCACTTATGTTAGTTTGCCAAAAATGTATCCATATTTTAGAAATACTATACTCACATGATGACTTAAGTCAGCATCCATTATGATGATAAAGTTGCCTGTAGCATGATTGATACCATGAATATATGCTGTTCCCAAACCAAGCTTCTTTTCTCTAGGTCTTAAAACAATTTTGTCCTCACCATATATTTTTTGGAGCTGCTTTGCTGCTTCAAGTGTGCCATCTGGACTTCCATCATCTATTACTATTATCTCATAATCACAGTTGCTAAAAATAAATATTTTATTATTTTTCAACAGTATTTCAATATTAGTTATCACCGGAAAGTTGCAAAACTCATAAGCTAAAAGATACTGTAACTGATCTGATATTAAAAAGCTATTAGAACTAACGTACAAAGAAATTTCAACTAACCGGCACTTACTACTACAATTAGAACAAAATACATCCGTAAAAGAAGAAATACTAATAAATCACTTGCAAGTCTATAAAGTCATCTTAATTTATGGATGAACAGTTTTAAACAAGAGAGAAACTCTTAGAGTGTATGCCTAGTTCGCACTAAATTATTAGATACTCAACTAAAATAAGCATGGTGCGAACTAAGCTTAAAGGAAACTAAACCCTGTGCTTTAAGAGGAGTAAAATTTAAAATCTTGTAGATTTCCATTACTAGATCTAATCCCATCATATAAAAGCTTGGATAGAAAACACATTAAAAAGCTTTCAAATTTACCTCTTATTCATATATTTTACTATAAGATAAATGATAATTGGAAGATTTTCCACTTCATTGTAAGTTGGTAAGAGTATTGAGTATTTGTTTTTGGAAGTCTCTGCATGTTTTTCCTTGGACATATTGTATTGAGCAATTACAATGTTTATATAAATTACAATCAAGATAACTGCTTTCAACTTCTTTACCATACGCAAATTTATTCATGAGCTTAATACATAATAATTGATAAATGTGTGATTCAACCTTATCAATATTTGCTAAGACTTCATTTGACGTTTGATGTCGGTGTTTTGATGACGTTACAATGAAAATATTTACAAAACTCGGATAACCTTAAAAATATTCTTCTTCTTTATCAATCGATGGCTGAACACCAACATAAGAAAACAAGTTGTTTGAAACAACACTATCACTAGAAAAAATCCAAATATGATCATACAATAGTATTTCTACTATACCTAATAATCATTTTATGTAAATTTGGTTCATTTTATTGGAATAATGAATTGATTTCTTCTAGAGATACTTTTTTTTAACGGAATTGCTAAATACGCAAGCCCTTATTCAATTTGGAAAACGAAGAGGAACGCGGGAATTATTGAACGATCAGTAGGACAGTAGGTTATATGCATAGACCAAAACCAAAATTTGGTTTGGTCTATGGTTATATGTTTAAAAGGGGGAAGGCGGAAAGGGATTGTTTATTTCTTAAAATTTGTGGAGAATTATTTTTGTGTGTAATTATTTATTTATGTGGAGAAAATTAATTTATGGTGCCGTTTAAAGTATCTGAAGTATTCAATTATGGAGGTTCTTTCAGATTTTCCAGATAAAGAAAATATTAATATATCACAGAAAACGGACCAGGATTTTAAAAGTATTGATAAGGAAGAAAGAGCAGAGAGTAATAATTTAGAAAATGTCACAAGTGCTTTTAATAGTGAAATTAATACTAGAGATTCACAAGAAAGTGCTACTACAGTACATGTAAATAATAAGGCTTTGGATACATCAACAAACTTTTCTGAACAACCACAAAACAATGTGTCCTTAGAAACTGAACTATCTAGTCAAATTGATGTAAATAAAGATAAACCTTTGGTAAATTCTGATAATGAATCATCAGGTGCTGAAGATGATAATAATACAGTACTCAAAAAGAAACATAATAACCAATTATTTGACTCAGATTCTGAAGATGAAATAAGAGCTAAATGTGAACCTAATAAAAATCAAATTTCTGACAATGAAGCATCTGAGGGTGAGGATGGTATAATAAAAAGTAAATTGCTCAAAAGGAAGGGGAAAAAAGAGCTATTTGACTCGGAAGAATCTGAAGATGAGGCTGTGAATACTAAAATAATTAATAAATCTAACTCTAAGAAACACATAACTGTTTCAGATAATGAATCGTCAAGTTCTGATTCTTCAGGTTCATTAAAAAATAATGAAACGAGGAAAACTAATTCCAAAGATAAAGGTAAAGGGTTATTTGTTTGTATGCTTTTATTTTTCCTAATTTTATAATGTCCCATTTTCTTCCATTAGAGTTATTGGCTTATTGATAAATTATTATACTTAACAAATTTCGACAATAGAAATACTTAATTTTTATCTTAAATTGCCACTGCAATAACTGTCTAAGGTTTGAAGCAAGTTATGTATTGATTCACATAGTAAACACTATGTACTTGTGTTTATTTTTTATTTATGGTGTTGATACTTGTGTAATAGTTGCTCAATATTATTTAATAATATAATACGATATTTGTGTAATACCTTGTTAAAACTAATTTTTGTATTTTGTTCAAACAGCAGCAAAACAGGGAAACACAAAATCTTCAGCAAACAAAACAAGAAAACGTATAACATTACTTGAAAGTGATTCTGAAAATGAATTACCAACTTCTCAAGAACATTTAATTGGCGAATGTAGTAGCGATAAACAAATTATGAATAGAATTACTGATTCCGATGATAAAAATATATTAGAGGAAAATTTCAAACTTAAAAGTGCTAATACTAAGCACATATCTAAGAATGCTGATCTTGAAAGTAGTGATTCTGAGGTTGAACAAGTGACTCCTCATAATAAAAGCTTTTCTGATGCCCCTATTGAGGAAGCTCCTATCTATACTGTGAATTATAAAGGTGAATTGATTCTAGAGCAACCAGCTAGAAAGGTAAATGTATACAACAATATTAAATAATTAAGAATAAATTAAGTGAAAAAATTGGTTATATTTACTGATTGCTTAATAATATAATTGCAGAACAGTAACATTGTCTAGAGGGGCTATGGAAAAATACCTAAGAGTGTTGATTCTATTATGTCATTGTAATAAACCAGTTATAGGTACTGCATTAGCTTAGCTAGGGCATATTTTGACAGATTCATTGTCGGATACCTACAACACAACAATTCCTACTTCTCAGTATTAATAGCTCAAGTATCCTACTATTGTAGACTTCTTCCTTTGAAAAAAGAAGAATTATTCTAAATAGTGGAAGTGTATACTAAACTTATCAAATTTTGGATAGTATTATATTTAAAAAATATATTTTAGTTGTTATAATTTAACATAACTATTTATTATATAGTGCAGATAATAAATATTGATTGTCAGTAATTCACAAAGTTCTATTTTATTTACTATTTAGTTTGTTTACTATTAATATTGGCTATGAGTATGTGTGCTTGGTTGTATAGTAATTTCCAGCTACTTTTAGTCTGTCAAAAAGTAACTAACTTCGCAAAAAATAATTTCTGAATTCACTAGACAGTTCGGACTGGGAATAGCGAACCGAGTATATCATTGAGTTGCTTGCTGTTAAATTTATATTTTGAAAAATATTTTGTAGTTTTCAGCCTTCTAACAGTTTTTTAGAGTTTAGTAAAAGTATTTCAGTAGTTATTATATATTATAAACAAATAAACATATTTGTATGTATTCTATCTAATTTAACTTTATTTGAAGTCAAATAATTGGACAGCTCTCTGTGATTCTGAAAGTTCAGCAGATGAAGACAATAATGAAGATAAACCAAAAAGTGACTTGGACAATAGTATGTCAGATGAAGATGTTATTAAACCAGTCAAATACAAGAAAAAATCTAAGCCTAACGAGGAAGGAGAACCAAAAAAGGTAAGTGTCTAGACAACTTTTTGTATCATCGGCTTCACAATCTATGTCCTTTTGTTGTATTGTTAAATATTTTAGTTCAGATGTTTACTCAGCGGGATTCAAATCCTGGTATCCTTAATGCTAAGGAAGAATCACACTGTTTAACAACCTAGGCTTGTCTAGATATGTTGATGTTGGTTAAAGGCAGATGTAGATGGTTTGAAATTAATTTAGTCTTCAATAGGTGGTGATACATGAGATTACTCTTATAATTGACCCCAAAATTTTTTTTCTATCAATATAATGTAAGTAGTTGACCAGAAAGTAGGTGTTGCACATGCCAAATTACTCCAATGGTATATGAATTGATAACTCACTCACCTTATTTTGCAATGAACAAGGAAGTTGTAGGTTTAAAGATTAAATTCTTTGATATACCAAAGCAGTTATTCATTAATAATCTTTTCTCTACCAAGTACTTGGCAATGACACCAAGGAAGAATGGTATCTGAAATTGCATTCACATCACAACACAATGCAGAGTTTTGTTGCGTTATGAGGAAGTGCCTTTTTGAGAACATTGCCAATTATGTAGATATAATGATCACATAAAAAATGATGTGTATAAGAAGCGGTAACACTTGAATTCTAGTAAAACCAAATTGGAAGGTTAAATTTTTTAAACTATTCAAATTCTTTGGTTTTTTCTAGGAACTTCTTAGGCTTCTAATGCAAATTTAATATAATTTAGTAAGGTGTGTATTTGAAAATAGTTCGCTACAAACAGTATTGTAGTGGTCTAGGTATATTATGTTGAAATGGAATAGAATAGAGGGTTGGATACATATTCATTGAAAAAGTAAAGACAACAAAGTGTCAAAAATTTCATTTTCTGTCCATATTACTGGCATTTGCAAATAATTAATTATAACTTACATTTAGATGAGTGGCAAAGAAGCTGCAGAATTGAGGAAAGAAATACAGTCCGAATCTCAAAGAATGAAAAGGGAATCAAATATATCATTGCCCTATCACAGGCCAAAGTCATTCACATTGAAGGAATTCTTATCAAGAAGACCCAAACTGGCTTCTGCTGTCCCTTTGGCCGCTAAAACCCCACCATCTGTGGCCATTAAGATGTCCATGGAACAGTTGGAGGTTGTTTCGTAAGTTAATATTTTGTAATTTTCACAAATTAATTAGTTTTACTTCTTGTTGATGTTGCCTCCTCGAGTTTACAACTCGTCGTAATGTTTTTTAAAATGTATTATTGCTATGCTACACCCAATATTACAATTACTTCTTATATACATATGAAACGTAAACTAAAACTGATGTGCAAGCTCCAAAGAATCACCTTTATATGTTCAACTGCCATCAGGCCCAAGGCAACTAGAGTAAAAATAATTAATCTCAATCCTTAATTTGATAAATCTATTTTAATTGAAACTATTGTATGTTTGAAATATTTTGACTCAACGAAAAGAATGTTTTTATATTAATTTATTTGTAATTTATGGATTCAAGTGTAACTTGATGGAAATTCATTTTATGTAACAATAAAACACTGAAAACTTTATTTTCAAACTTCCACAAAATTTATTTTAACCTCTTATCACTACAGCTGTTTCAGTTGATTGCCTTTCTCAAGCTTGAGAATAAATTTTGTGGAAGTTTGAAAACAAAGTTTTCAGTGTTTTATTGTTACATAATTTATTTGTATATATTTTTTGGTAAAAAGGTACAGAGTGAATTGTATCTAATAGGACACATTTCTAAATGTGGAAAAATATTAGGAAATTTTATTATGTTGTATGTATAGTAGGAGATACATTTTAAAACACATTTTACAATAAAAAAAGATTTATAGAAAAACGATTCAGTCCATAACATCTTTATTTACATAATAAACATAACTCACAAATTAAAAAATATTAATTTATTCATTATGAAATCTATAAAAACAATTTCTATTTTTTGCTAAACATAATCTAGGTCCTAGGAGAACATTTATTAAAAACCCAATGAGTTTCCACTTTATTTGCACTAATGCCATCATCCTCTACTAACATCATCATTGTCATCCTCAACTTGAATGTCTCCATTGCTGGACATAGGTCTCCCTAATGATGAACTTCTGGTCTTCAGTCCATCTGGTTGGTGGGCAGCCTATGCTCTGTAGTGCCTCTTTTCTTAGCCTCCACTCGAAAACATGTCTTATCTATCTATTGTCAGGTAATCTGGCGATTTGTCCTGCATAATTCCATTTTAGCGTCTGTTGTTTTTTGTTCCATGTTAGGGATTCACTCTCTTATAGAGATGCCCAAAATCAGGCACTTCACAGCACTGTGAGTTACATGAATCTTGCTTACTACCTTTTTTGTGAGTATTAATTTTTCCTCTCCATAAGTAAGTACTCATACACTGGTCAAATATTTTCCTTTTGTTGAGGCATATGAGTGATTAGTTCTGTCAGGCAGCACTATTTTTCCGTTTGTTATAGTGCCTTTGTTATGCTATTATTTGCTTGTTCAATATCTTCTATATCGTTTTCTAAGTCTTGTATATGTCTGGTTAATGTATATTCATACAGGTCATTGTTTTCTGCAGGAATCCATTTCTTCTTTCATGTTTTTAAGATTATCTTAGATCTTTTCAGTTGTACATCTAGTCATATCTTTGCTCAGATTAATCTGTGTTCATGTCCTGTCAAAAATTTGTTAAGCACTTCGATGGGTGACTGGAGAGACGTATGAGCTAGCTCTATTCTGAAGTATATCTATTCATTTTCCAAGATCGCAGATAAGTATCCACCTGCTACCCTCTTTACCTTAACTGCCATATATTGGAAAATAGTATATTTTACTGTATTTGAAAAAAATATCACAATAAATATAAATGACTGATAAAGATGGAGTTTTCACGGACCAAATTAATGCCAGCACCACTTTTACCCTAGTTCGTTGACTTTCTTCGTTTTGATTAAATATATGTTGGCAAAATGTATCATTGATTCCATAGACAATAAAGCAATACTCCAAACCTGAAATGCCTGCTCTAACAAAAATTTATAGGTCTCATTTTTTAGACTTTAACTTTATATTCTGTCTCATAGACCCAGCCTATATAATGAACTATGTTCCTTTGTAATAAATAATTATTCCATCAACCTTTGTCGCCTCTATTCTTTTATTTGGTGACAGTTTCTTTTAAGTGTGTCAAAAACTGGTCTTACATATGATAATATTTATCTTTATTTAAAGGTAAGGATAGTGCAAGCAGTCCTGACCACGGCGCAGTAGACGAAAATTTTTTTAGTCCCCAGTTCCATGCGAAACACATTGTACTATGCACTGTATAATTCCCCTTGCAATATAACCTTTCTGCATTTATGTGAATTTGACTCCGCCTTCGCGCAGCTCCATGGTCAGGAGTGTTTGAACTATCTTTATATGCTTAAGCCCCATGGTTTCAAAAAGATTTGGAATTTTGAATAGAGAATTCCAGTAGTCAATAGCATGGCAACAATGCGATGCCCACTATAATCTGAAAAGCTATGAAATCTTGTGTTTCTTCCTCTGTGATGTTGAAGTTTCTGTTAGTATATTTGATTAAACTATGCCTACATAGATGGCAGCACTAGTGCAGTTTTAAATAAAAAGGAATATGGATGAAATAAAACAAAGTATGTAATCTCTAAAAAATATAAAGTGCGGCTAAGATAAAAATTCGTATACAATGTATCTTATAAGATATATTACTTAAAGTTTAAGTAAATTATTATGGCCACAAACCTGTAACAGTTTTTTGATTGTTTTTTTCTTTATAGTAAAAACCTGCAGAAGAGACACAAAGAAGTCGAAGAGTTTTATAAATCAGATAGCGAAGAAGAGCCTGAGGATGACAAAGAAGATTCTGATTATGTCCCTCCACAGTCTGCACTGGATCAGGGGTCTTGCAGCAAAGAAGATTCAGAAAAAGTAACTGACAAAGACAACCTAGTGTCTGAAGGTTTTGAAAATAAAGTTGTAGAATGTAATAAAGATGAAGAAGTGATAACTCCTATGGAAGTTGATGATAGTGAAAATGGAAATAACGAAAATCTTATACAAACTAAGGAAACTGAGAATATTTGTAATGATCCTAATGCCCAATGTATCTTAACTGATGATGTTTTGAACACTGATAATTCACAGGCTAGTAATCTAGATAATACAACTGACAAAATTAGCGAAAAATTGGAAGAAAATGAAAACTTGAATAGTCCTGATAAAGATGAAAATAAAGAAAATAGTATATCTGACAAAACTCTTGAAGAAAATTATGATAAGACTGATGAAAAATTAGTTGAGAACTTAAAGACTTTAGATCATCAGGCTTCGATGGAGTATGAATTTAATCTAGATGATATGGAAGACAATACAGAAAATATCATCAATGCAGGAGATAAAGAAGTGCAACCGCAAATAAGTGAAGCCTTAACCAATGATCAACATACTGAAGAGCAGCGAAAAGCATATTTTGCAGATTTAGATAAAGAAATCGAAAATTTTGGCATGGAGACTTCTACAAAGGAGCCAGAAAAACCCAAGTCGAAATTAGAACTGTTGAAAGAACGATTGGCTAACGTAAAGCCCCGTCTCAGTAACACCTCCAACAATGTTATTGATTTAGACACAGTTGCTAAACCCACCGAAGTTACAAAACTTATGGAAAGATTTGCCAAACACACTGCCAAGAAGCATATCCATAAAGACAAAGTTAAATTGAATGTGATTAGTGTGGAGAGCGGAGGTGAGATTCATAAGGAAACTGTAGCTATTCATGTTGATGATGAGGAGGATACAGCGATTGAAGAAAAACCAGGTAAATATTAATTTTCCTATTTTTTACACTTTTAATGAAGCGGACGGTGGACATTATTGCGTTTTTTCTAGGTGTCAGACTGCAAAAGCTGAGAAACGAACTACAATCCCAAATAGCTCAGCAGAGGTACAAACATTGGCAAAATAAGAGCGGTAGAGAAGTCAAAAACGATACTGAGGATCCTTACAAAGATGAAAAATCGGAATGTGGAGCGGACGATGCTCTACTCGATGATGACGAGGAAGAAGAAATGAGCGAGTCTAGTGAAGATGAAATCGGCGATGAAGATGATGAGATAGAAAATGAAGTTGAAACTCAACAGAAGAAGTCTGCATTTATTGATGATGAAGCAGATGAAAGTGACATTGAAGGTACTTATATTTTACCATTTATTAAGTCGTAAGCTGTAAAATGTTTTTGCTAGTAACAACACAAGGCAATTTTAAAAACGTTTTATATATCATTTACATATAGGGAGGATCTGTTTTGAAGTGGATATGTAAGGCGGCACTTTGGATTTTTAGATGAAATATCATATTTGCTTATATTAAATTATGTTCTAATAAAATACTCATTTTTCAATTAATGAAAAAAATAACATTGAAACATTTTCTGCAATTGATTTTGTAACCTCAGTTTTTCATTCAAAAAAAAGTTGGAAAAAAATGTTTTAACAAATTAGATGGTTTATTTAACTATGTATTTATTTAAATAATGCATATTCGTAATGTTCGCAATGTTTTGTATTTCCAAGGGTTGGCCACATAGATGGCCCTGTCATTCGCTAAAAATAGGTCTTCTTCTGTGCAGGTATCTCTCATATCTGTGCATGATAGTAAATGGTGACTATTGTGGGATACGGCAAATTGTGTCCAGCGCCCATTTCCTCTGAGGGGGCAAAATGTGTTGTATCTGACTCTTGCCATAGGTGTATTCGGCGCGTCTTGGACTCTTCGGGAAGATATCGTGATTTTTTCAGAAACCTTTTCCGAACTTAGTCTACTTGGCTGAAACTGGTGGTCGTACAAGGTGTGTCTTCGATCCCTCTCCTGCTTCTTTTGCTCTATCTCTGATGTGACCTGTCTTCTGATAGCAGGTGGAGCGATTCCAACTATAGGGTAGACCTCTTCGATAGGTGTCAGTTTCAGGCAACCAGATATTATACGAACCGTTTAATTTAACGCAACATCGACGTTTTTAACGTGAGCAGAGTTTTCCCACATTGGTGCTCCAAAACTCAAATAGATAGTGTGTGGTTATGTTCCCCATTTTGTATTTGTTAGTTTGCGGATGATATTATTTCTGGCGCTTACTTTTCTCTTTACGTCTTGACAGTGATATCGATAAGACAGAGTTCTATCCAGACGTACGCCGAGGTATTTTGACGTCTCATTTTGTTCCATCATCTGACCACGGCATTCTACCTCCAGTGTCGTTCGGGAATGCTTGTTTCTAAGGTGGAAAGCACACACCTGGGTTTTTGTTTGGGTTTCAGATCGTTTTCGTCATAGTATAGTGCTAAGTCTTCTAGGGAATCTGTCAGTTTCACTTCGACTTTATTGAAGGTACTTTCCTGGTCTGCCACAGTTGTAACATCCGCGTAAATAAACTGTCTTGTTTGTTGCTTTTGGGTTGGTCGTTGGTGTAAATGTTGTATAGCATCGGCGCGTGTACACTTCCCTGTGGGAGTCCATTTTTTTTATCGTTCCACCTACTGTTCTTGGACTGGAGCGTTACATAGAAGCGTCTATTCTGGAGAAGACATTCCATTAATCTTGTTTGTCGGAAATTCTTTTGTAATTTCGTAGAGTTTTATCAGCCGTCGTTGATGGTTAACTGTGTCATAGGCGGCAGTCAGGTCTATGAACGCTACTCCTGTTATTTCTTTCCGTTCAAACCCATCTTCAATATGTTGGGTGAGATTAAGAGTTTGACTGCAGCAGCATTTTAGGTTCAGTATCATTCTTTCAAACGCCTTGAAAAGGTGACACAGAAGGGAGACAGGTCTAAAACTCTTTGTATCCGCCAGATCCTTTCCTCGTTTTAAGAGGGCCACTACTCTATGTTTCCTCCAGATTTCATCATTTTTACGAGCCATTCTAGGGTTTTTGGTGCAAAGTGCTTTATTTATTCTGTTCATATATCGTCTAGGTCAGCCGCTTTATTATCTTTTATTTGGTGGCTCGCACCTCTTATCTCTTACAGACAAAAGAAAGTACTTACTACTTCGTCGATATTTCGTTGTATTCTTACTCTGTTCTTCCTTGATGTTGCTATCTGATAGGCTATCTGATCGGGTGTGACTTTTGTCAGATTGGGTGCCGGGACAGCGGGATTGTTGCCTAAATTCCGAACTAATTTCCAAGTGTATCTGCTGTTTTGTTTCATGTCATGTTGAAAGACGCGGGCTGTTTTGGATCGTGAATAAGTTTGAGGTTTATGTTTTCAGCCCAATTTTCTAGTTCTTCGCCATTGGAGTCTGCTTCGTTATACCCCCTCGCGATACTGTGACAGTTGAAGTCACTCAGTTGAACTTTATTTGCTGTGTAGGACAACTTTTTTTTTTAATTTGTGAGAAAATACAAACTTTCCATATATATATATATATATATATATATATATATATATATATATATTTATATATATATATATAAATAATTTTTCTGTAGGCAATGGTTAAAAAGTTATTCTAGTTCTGTATAAGCAAAAAATCGAGATGTTTTTGCAAAACAATTTTGCAATATTCAAAATTGTTTTTCTTCATTTATTTTTAATAATATTGATAGAATAAATCTTCTTCTTTCATAAGCTACTCGTAGAATTACTGCAACTTCATTATTATCTGAGTTACAATGTTGCAAAAAAATTTGATTCTATTTGAAAAAATAAAATATCACATTCCAACCAACATTCCATGTAATATGAAGGTTCTAACTTCAGTCAATAATATTTATAAACAAAAAGAAATTTCTGACTATTTTACAACTTTCTAAGCAACAAATAAGGATAGAATCATTTAAAAATTTTACCATTTTGAAGGTTTTTATATCAATTATAAGTTCTTTATCTTCAAATTTGTTTCAAATGCTTTCAAATGACTGCAGGAATCATATATGTAGGTTCTTGTTGTAGAGATCCATACTACTGAAACCAATGTCGTTTGCCTGACTGGATTAGTGTCACAAACGGGGTATTTTGTTTGCTTATTTCCTGAGCTATAATAAATTCAAAAATAATCATTAATCAAATTTATATACTTTAAACATTTTTTTATATTAACAAATTTTTAGATGCTACTGCAACAGCAGCCGATGATGATCCTCAAGAAGATGATGATATCTCCGAACATAATAGTAATCTCGAAGGAGAGGAAGAACAAGATGAAGATGAAAAGTCGGACAAAGAAAATGAAGAACCTAATGAAGACCAAGAAAAAGAAACCATACAAACTTCAAACGATAAAGAAGAGGTATCGCCGTTTAAAAAACCTCTGAGGAGAATACTAAAAGCTTTCACTGAAGATTCTGATGAAGATGAAGACGCCGAATTAGCTTCTACTATTAACAATATTTCTGATAAATTGAACAAAAGTAATGAGGATACCAATTCAACACGTAAGTGATGTAGTTTAGAAAGGGGTGACATTGGAAGATTTACCGTGAATTTTGTTTTAGAGGATGATTATATCACGCCTTATCAACCTCAAAAGCAGGAGACGCCAATTCGGCAGAATTTTAGAGAAAGGTGCAATTCTGATTTAAAATTCTGTACTCCTGTTTCTTATATTACTGGACTACAAAATTTGACGCATTCAGCTTCGAAGGTATGTAAATATTTTTTACCATAGTTTTTTTCACTACCAAATTTATTACAACGAATTTACAACACCTCTTAACCTTTCAAAAACACTGTAAACCGAGTATATATCAGCTCTTTGCTACTGTATGATAGAATTTATAACTTTTCTTACTTTTTTTGACTTGAGGAAAGACGACAGTCAGATGAAGCCAGATCTGGTGAATAAGGTTCTAGTAATTTGAATCCTAAATTGTTTACGTCTCAACAATCGATTTATGTGTAGGAGTGTTGATCTGTAAAAACAAAATACTTTTGGACAACTCACACCATAATTTTTTCTTGTAGAGTAGAATAGTAATTCCCAGTCATTGATCTACTCTAGTCCAGAAAATCAATTGTAAGTACTCTTTGGTAATCACAAAAAACTGAAACAAAAACAGTTATAGCATATTTTTGATCACAAACTTTCTTAGGCCTTGGAGGACTGAGGTGTCTTGATTTCATTGATTGCTGCCTTGCTTCTGGGTCATAGAAATGCTTCCACTTATGCAAGATGCCAGATCAAGACTATCCTCCTTTCACTCATCGATTTTCATTTACTTCACAAAAGCAAAAACTCTCGCCTGGGATCTGATGTAATTTCATTTCTCAGTGAGTGTCAAGGAGTAAGCTAAACACGTATCATTTCATTTTCCTGATATAGCGTATGTCGTATCATCTGCGAATTGTACGGATTTGTACAGAGATATAAATTTAGGCAAATCGTTGACATAAATAAACAAAAGAGGTCCTAAGACCGAACCTTGTGGGACTCCATGTTTTGCGGATAGAAAATCGTAGAGATGACCTTTAAACACTACCACCTGGGGTCTGCCACATAGATCAGAAGTTATAAGCTTGAAAGGTATACCTGATTCCATAGTAATTTAATTTGTGGAGCAAAATGTCGTTTGAAACGCAGTTAAAAGCCTTCGACAAGTCGCAAAGTGAAATTGCTATGCGATTGCAGCGTTCAAACCCCTCAATCACCTCGCTCACAACACTAAATACCGCATTCGTAGTAGAATGAGCAGTTCTGAATCCATATTGTGAATTGTTAAATAGAAATAAAATTGTTGTTTGATAACCTTTTCAATCACTTTCACAAAAGTAGAAACAACTATGTAGTAAGATTCTTTAAAAATTTTGCTATTAATTTCGTAAACGGCTTTTCACTTTAAATTACTACGAGACTTTATTATTTGAGAGACCTACGGGACGAAAAAAAAAAGACGAAGAAGGATAGTTTCTATAATTGAAGACATCGACATTAACCGTCTAAGGACAAAATTTTCAAAATTTTAAAAAATTATTTCGAAAAAATGTGTAAATTCAATTTAAATCAATAATTATATGTATGGCATATTTATATTTAATTTTTATCATTATTTTTGAAAAAAAATTTAAAATTTTAAACGTTACGAAAACCTCACATTAGGCATCTAAAAGTAATACAATAATTTTAATGCATATATTTATTGGTGCAAAAATATCATTTTTGAATAGCATGACAAATTTTAATTATGATGAAAATCGTAAAAATAATTCCAATTTTTATTAATACATAAGTACACGTTGCACTTCTCACAATAATGCACAGAAACTGCTTTACAACCAGGTTTTTGACATCGTCCTCTTTTGCCTTTCACAACGGGCCAATATCCTATTTCATCCTGCCGAATATCCTTTTGAGGAATCATTTTTGTAGCTGCACTTTTGTGTTTTTTTTTGCTGCATGGAGATTGTCAATACAGCTACTGCTGGGACGTCCTAATTTTTTGGTAACTGTCAGTGTCTTTCCTTGCTTCATTAGGCTTTCGGCTATGCGACTCTTAAATCAAACAGAGACAGTTCGTTTTTCTTTGGAACATCAAAATGATTGTAGTCACGTCTATATAAAAACCAACAATTTACAACTGTCATATCCATAAAATGAAATAAAAAACGATGATAATATTTCTTTGATCTAATTGTGATTCTGTATAGACCTATTAGTGAATTCATAAGATCTACTCCGCATATGAATTTATTGTAAGTTCTAACTGCTGTGGGGCACTGAACATCTACAGTATCTTTTCTTGTTTTATCCCATCTTCTAATTGTATTACGAGGTTTGGCAGAGGAAAAGTATCATTGTATCCTGGAGTAGCGGAAATTTTCAGTATATTCTTCAAAATCGTATGCAACACCACTGGAGCCAGCCAACACATAAATTTTGTAGCCCCATTTGTAAGGCTTTTTTGACATGTATTGTTTTAGCCTGTACTTGTACAGTTTATCCAAGTTTGACGGATCAATTTTGGTATCGGAGAAATGTTTTTTTTATCGTTTCCCATCTGTCTCGACTCATTATTTCACGAACTGTAGTAATATCAAATTGAGAACTCCAATATAATCGAGTTTTTGGTAGTTTGATTAAAGACATATAAAATATTGTACCCATAAATTGTTCTAGCTCTTTTATTGTCAACTCCAGAGGTTTATTGGGTTTTATAGTTTATTCGTCTTCCGGGTTTGGACCGTGTCATTTGTGAGTGACCCAAAAGTGGGTTCATCTCGACGTTTCGCTACAATTATATGTAGCTTCTTCAGGAGAAACAAAGAAAAAGAAAAAAGAAAAAGAAGAAAAAAGAAAACAAAAGAACAGGAAGATGGGTAGTTAGCAACGGTAACTCAGTTACTCAACGCAACCAGAGGCGAATACTAACTACCAAGATGGGCATTTGGTCACAGTAACTCAACTACTCAACGCAGCCAGAGGTGAAAACCAAATGCCAGGACAGGGATTCACGTCCAACAGCTCAGAACACTAACGCGTCGAGAGGCGGGGAGTGAATCCGACGATTACTCCGCTACCGCTCTATTTATAGTCGCGGTGCCTGTCGTGTCGGGACGTATCGGCACACTTCGTGGCGCGAACGTCAAGAAGCGCGCGCTGGCCAATCATGTGGTGGCGGGACTGGACGGTGGCTCTAGACTGAGATTCCAGATGGGAGACAAGTAGTATCCTTCCTCTCGATTGATATTATGGGGATTTTTTTCGGATCTCTAGAGATTCGCGGATTTTCCTGGAATAAAAGAAGGGGCTCTTAGAAATAATATGGGTTTTTTCGAACAGTATGGAATGACCGGTTTCTTGGCAGTGTTCGGCAACTGCAGAATGGGAGAAAAGACCTGATCGAATGCATCTTTGATGCTCTTGAATCCGGGTTTTGACGGAACGACCAGTTTCGCCAATATACACATGTCCACATGAACAAGGAATAGAATAGACACCACAGGAAGATAGGGCGGTAATGGGTCCTTAGGAGAGGGTAGATATTGTGAGATTTTCTTGGGTGGTCGAAAAGTAGTCCTGATACCTTCTTTGCGAAGAATTTTGCCAATCCTATCAGTGACATTTCGAATATACGGAAGAAAAGCCACAGGAGTATTATCCGAAGATTCTGAATTTGTTGTCCTAGGGTGTAAAGGGGGATGTAGATGTCGGTGTGTAATATTTTGAATTGTGGACTTGGAGTAACCATTGGCGACAAGGGTTTTTTGCAGATGGCCAAGTTCTTCTCTAAGGTTGTCGGGTTCAGAAATCGAAATGGCCCGATGGATGAGAGAGTTGATCACAGAATTCTTTTGGGCAGGATGGTGGTGTGATGAAGCATGTAGGTAACGATTCGTGTGAGTCTTTTTTCTATAAACACAGTGACCCAATCGGCCATTGGGCTTGGAGGTGACTAACACATCGAGAAAGGGAAGGGACCGATTATTTTCTACTTCCATTGTGAATTTTATACTCGGATGTTGTGAGTTAAGATGATCTAGGAAGGAAGAAAGGGTATGTTGACCATGGGGCCAGATGATAAATGTATCATCAACGTAGCGGAACCAGACTTTTGGTTTTAAGGGGTAAGATTCTAGGGCTAAAGACTCAAAGGCTTCCATGAAAATGTCAGCAATGACAGGGGAAAGGGGAGAACCCATTGGTGTTCCAGATATTTGTTTGTAGAAATTGCCTCTAAAAGAAAAATATGTTGAAAGGAGGCATTTTTCGGCAAGATCTGCCAAAACCAAAGACTTGTTATCATTGGTCAAGTGATCTCGCAGAACAACTAGAGAGTCATGTATGGGGATATTGGTAAATAGAGATGATACATCGAAACTGACGAGAATATCTTGGGGATCGACTGTGAGAGAGGAGATTAAGGTGATGAAATGTGTGGAATTTCGGACATAAGAAGAGGTACGACCAGTATAGGTCTTAAACTGATTGGACAAGTACTTTGCGAGTTTGTAGGTAGGAGAGTTAATCGTAGTCACAATGGGACGAAGAGGTACGTTATCTTTATGGATTTTCGGAAGACCATAAATTCTGGGGCAGATGGAGTTTTTTGGAACTATGGACTTCTTAACATCATCGGAAAGATCGGATTGTTTGATGGCATGGGAAATTTCGCGTTCGACTCTAGGAGTGGGGTCTCGAGAAATTGTATTATAACAGGATGTATCCCTAAGTAAGTCGTTTACTTTCTCTATGTAGGAAGGAGTATCCAGGATGACTGTGGCATTACCTTTGTCTGCAGGAAGGATTATTATCTCAGAAAGAGAACGGAGATTTTTGAGAGCTATGAATTCCTCACGAGATATGTTGGAAGTAGGGATTTTGGCTGTATCAAGACATTTAGCGACGTCAAAGCGGATACGGTCGGCTGGAATTTTGGGAATTGTGCGGAGTGCCGCTTCCACATTTGAAACTATTTCTTCGGTAGGAATTCTGGAAGGAGTGATAGCAAAATTAAGACCTTTAGATAGAAGACTGCTTTCTGCACTTGTTAATTGGTGAGAAGAAAGATTAACGACGGTGTTAATGAGAGGTGAATGAGAAGTAGAAGTGGTGGAATGTGATTTTTTCTTAGATACAAGGGATTGGAATTTCTTTTTGTGAGTTTCGTTGCTTAGAAGAAGGATTTTATCGGCTTGATGATAGGAAAT